GTTTGTTTGTTTTTGTTTTTGTTTTGAGTTGGAGTCTCACTCTGTCACCCAGACTGGAGAGCAGTGGCCACTCCCGGCCACCGCAGCCTCGACTTCTGGGCTCCAGCGATCCTTCCACCTCAGCCTTCCGAGTAACTGGAACCACAGGCGCACGATACCACACCTAGCTAATTTTTTATTTTATTGTAGAGATGAGGTTTCACCAAGTTGCCCAGGCGGGTCTCGAACTCATGGGCTCAGGCAATCCACTCACCTCAACCTCCCAAGGTGTGGGATTACAGGCTGAGGCACCGAGCCCAGCCTTGCTTTGTTTTTATAAATTGGAATCATACTAAAAAGATGTCATAGGTTTTTTTTTTTTTCACTTAATATTCATACACATTTTCCCTTGTCAAATACTCTTTAAACTTACTCTTTCAGTGGCTGTGTATCTCCTAATGATATGGATGTTGGTGGCTTCATCATAGCTATGGACTTGCAGATAAATCTTATGCATATGGCAGGGAGTTGACACTGCATAGCAGGTGAGAATCAGAAACTCCTACTAGACCCTGATCTTGGGCAAGTTAGTCTCTATGAAAGCCTTAGGGTCCTCGTCTGAAAAATGGGAATTATAATTATACCTACTATATAGATTAGCTATGACCATCATATGAGAAAATGCAGGTAAAGGATATAGCAACATCCCAGCATACAGTAAGTTCTCAGCTAAACTGCAGCAGCTTTGAGTACTTCCATAGGATAAATACCTGGAATTGTCAGGGCAAAGGGTAGGCACATGTTACAGCCTTTTAAAGTGCTCTAGATTCTTGCTACATAAACATGGCCCTTAACAGCAGCCTAGGCATCTTTCTGCATTAGAAATTTCTGCATTTCTGACTCCAGGTGGCTCGTATGGGCTCTAGCTGGGCACGGTGGCTCAAGCCTGCAATCCCAGCACTTTGGAAGGCCGAGATGAGGGGACTGCTTGAGCCCATGAGTTCGGGAACAGCCTGGGCAACTAGGTGAGACCTCATCTCCACAATATATTTTTAAAAAATTAGCCAGGGCCGGGCTCGGTGGCTCAGTCTGTAATCCCAGCACTTTGGGAGGCCGAGGTGAGTGGA